TTTCCCCCACCCTTCCCCTTCTTCCCAGGATCAAAACCTTTGCTCCCAATTTCTCTACCTCCTTCCTCCCAGTAACAGGGAATGGGGGTTGTGGTCAGTCCATCACACATTTTTTCTGCTGCTGCATCCTCCTCGGGGGAAGGACTCCTCATGCTCCTCCCCTGCTCCAGCGTGGGGTCCCTCCCACAGGAGACAGTCCCTCCAGGAGCTTCTGCAACGCGATCCCTGCCCACGGGCTGCAGTTCTGCACTAATTGCTGCAGCGTGGGTCCCTCCCACGGGCTCACAGCCTCCTTTGGGCACAGTCGCCTGCTCCAGCATGGGGTCCTCCATGCATGCAGGTGGATCTCTGCTCCACCGTTACCTCCATGGCTGCAGGGGCACAGCTGCTGTCTCCCCACGGGCTGCAGGGGAATATCTGCTCCAGCACCTCCGCCACCTCCTTAGTCACTGACCTTTATGTCTGCTGCAGGTTCACATAAGGGTTGGGGTTTTTTCCCCTCTTAAATACGTTATCACAGAGGTGCTCCCACCACCGACTGGCTCAGCCTTGGCCAGCGGTGGGTCTGATTTGGATCTGGGGAAGCTTCCAGCAGCTATCCCTGTATTCCCTCCCTTCTGCCAAAAGCCCACCACACAAACCCACCGCAGGGACTCTTACAGACACTATACGAGGCTGCACAAGCCCCTCCGAGCACTCATGGGAGAGAGAGATGTCATTTCCTACTGGCTGTCAGGATCATTTCTTCTTTCTCCATATAGCTCTGCAAAAGAATATTTCCCTCCGTTCTCAAATACACTGGCCTCTTCTCCCCCTTTCAGTTTTTGCTGTGGGTTTTCTTGTTGCGTTTTTTTTTTCCCCCTAAACTCACAGTTTCAGAATTTGCAGGCTCAGAATTTGTTCCCTCATCCTGCCTGGCATCCACAGCCTGGTACAACTCACGTTTCGCTCCTCTGCCGTTAAGAGCAGCTGGCACTACATCTCTCAGCTCAACACCCAGTACTTAGGTATTTTGAAGTCTTAAGTAAATTATAAGCTTCTCAAATATGGTGATGATAAAAATCCTCGATCTTGGAGGCCTATTATCCATTTGCATTTGACACTTGGTATCAAACACGAGGTGATCAAGGCACAGATGAGCACAGACACCAAGGCATGTACACATACGTCATTTACTCTCCCCCTTCCCCCGTTAATACCAATTTCCAGCTGAAGCCTGGACCACAAGCCTCAAATTTACATTCCCCGCTACATAATAGCTTGCAAACCAATTCAGCTCCTTGCTTAATCAACCGCTAAGCCAACACTCCCTCAACTATTTAGTCCTACTCATTTTTCAAGAGAACACAAGTTTATGCCTCACTCCCGATGCGATTAGCATATTGTGATGCTGCGAACAGAAACAGCACACTCGCTCCTCCTCACACACTAAGTATCTCTTGCAGCTTCCAAAGGAGAAAGAAGGGCTGCCTGAAGGATGTGAAACTACTCTTTATGCTCACTCCCTACCTATTTTTTCCACTGGACAGCAAGTCTAGCATCCTTGGCTTTCAGTGCACTAATCCAACAGCCAAAGCAAGTTTAATAGTTTTTTTTTTCCAGGTGAAATCAAAGGCTGTAGGCATGCAATGGTGAACTGACATAAGATGCAGTTGGTACAGAACTACAGATGAAAACTACACAGAGCAACTATAATTTTGGCTCTTCAACACTTGCTGGTTAGTGAGAAACCCCAGGACTGTTGACCTGATATTTTATTCAATGTCAGAAATACATTTAGGTTGTGTCTCAGAATGCGATGAGATAGCGCAAGATTATAAACCAAACCCACGTTACCTGAACTGCCACCAACAATTAAAGAGAAGTTCTGCTTTTCAAATCTCCCCAGAAGCTTAAGATGACATTATGACAAGAACCATGACACTTGGTGTACTACTCTGTCTTCTTCCTCATTTATGTGGCAACGCAATCCTTGTACAAGGCTACGTTCAGTCTCAAGCTTTCCTGAGAAAATGCCACAAACAGAAATTCTTCATTCTATTTATGGCATCATATCATCAAGACCCGAGGCGCTTCCCATTTGGTGAGACCCTGGCCCAGGTTGCCCAGAGAAGCTGTGGGTGCCCCACCCCTGGAGGGGTTCAAGGCCAGGCTGGATGAGGCTTTGAGCAACCTGGGCTGGTGGGAGGTGTCCCTGCCCATGGCAGGGGGTGGCACTGGATGGTCTCTAAGGTCCCTTCCAACCCAAACCCCTCCTGTGATTGTATAAGAATGGAGTGACCCCTGCACTGCACACGACCATAAAAACATGACATTTCTCAGGGAGCTTAAAAAAAAACCTGCTCTAGCTGGGGGTGGCAGGGTGGCGTTTGGCTGGGTTTTTCAACCAGTATTTTGCAACATGTGAGATTTCCAATGTGTTTTCAATAGTTTTACACAGCTTGCCTTCAGTGGTGCACAGAGTGCTTTGAAGGCAGGTCACAGTAGTCGCAACACTTCATGCCAGACTGATTGAGCCCCAAAATTGCACCGCCGGGGGGTTCCTGGGTGACCTAACCCACTGGTGCTCTAAGGACACCATGGGGGCAGGCAGCATGGAGGAGGATTTGGGAAAGACACAGGTTTAAAAGCTCTGCCAGGAAACAAGTTCTCAAACAACAGGGAAAATTTAGTATTAGATCCTTTACAGTTGGGAAAAGTATTAAACAGCAGGACCAACGAGGGTGATCCCCTTAGGAAACCCAGTGAGCTGTCCAACAAAAAAAAAAGATGGGTCAAAAAGCACGGGATGAGCGCTACCCTTCAAAACTGCTGATGCTTGTGGCAACAAAAGAGACCTTAACATTTCTGCAGAATCAACCTGTGCTAAATATCTTGACTTGCCCTGCCTTTCCTGGACCTTCACCTTTTAAGGAGATCTTCATCTCCTTGCCTAAGAATTTGGTGCTTTCTTCCAGCCCAAACTTCACAGTTTTTATCAGGCAAGAAGGGAGAATTTTCCTACTACTATTTTTTTTTTTAAACACACCCTATATCAACCTAAACCACTGAACTAAATTTTCACAGGACTACATCCCAAAAAAATCTAAGTGAAAGGACATACAGCCTTCTCCTAAAATTATTTTTTCCTACCATGATTCTCTAGTTCTATGGGTTCTCCTGAAAAAATTACTTACAGATGGTACATCTCTAATGTGCTCCTCTCCCCAAAACAGTAAGCATCTGGCATGCCTACTGTTTAATTACACAACAGGCTCATGCAGGAGGAAGCGTTTTCAAGCCTGGAATCTAATGTTCAAACTCCGATTATACCCAGTAGCAGGAGCTGTTCACAGTCAAGAAAAAAAGTTTTCAAACCAAAGGAAAACCACTATTAATGCACAGATATTTAGTAAGTTTTTATACATGTGAAGACAACCACGTTAGAACGTGAAGAGGCTGACATGACAAATTTTACAAGAAACTGTACGACAATTTTGTTAACTTTCATTGTTGAACACCATGAACGATAAATACGAAGACTCCCACCACCAAACAGCGCTAGCTTATTCTAGAAACCAATCGAACCATTCCACCTCTGGAACTTTAGATACCTACCCAGTAAAGAAGACCTCAAAGATTATTCTAGCTTACCCTCTTCAGAAATACTTAAAGCAGTTCAGCTGTAACTTTTCTATTCTAGCCAAATGTTTCCAGGAAGACTGACCCCCCAAATTCTTTAATTGCTGAATAGTGCACTCCCTCTGCTGGCACAGCACAGATACAGTCACACCTCGGCAGAGGCATTTTGCTGGGGACACTGTCTCTAGCCAAGAGGTCTATGCATTACAACAACATCTCTTCACATTTACACCTGCTGGAGCCATCAGAACAGAAACTTCCAAAGGTGCCCATGAATAACTGACTTCTCTGCTGAAAATCGAAACGCTAAAACCAGTGCTCAGAGGCTAGCAGTCGTTTTCAAGGTGCAAAGTTTCTGAAGACTCTCTGTGGTGGTATTTCTAACTTTGCAACAAGCAGTTCTAAGATGTCAGATTAAAAAAAAAAAACGTGAGGGTAGCAAGTGGACATGAACAATCCCATTCCATCACACAAGGGTTGCGTTTTCACTGTCTGCCTGTGTTTTAATCGGGTGTAAGAGTCCCGTGCCTCCTCCCGTGGAAACAGAACAGCTACAGTTCAGCCACCCTGACAGCACTGCACGAGATGAACTTAGTCCTTAACCTCAGCAGAAGAGCTGCAAGAAAGCAAAACCTTTCAAGCCAGCTTTGCAACACCTCCTATTTTGGCTTTGCAGCAAAAGGTTAACCGCCGGCTAACGGAGATCCAGGTTTTGTTATACACAAGGAGCTCAGGGTTAGCAGTGGCTAATGACGAGGGGTTTCTTCAGCACTCGCCTGACTGACTCCTGGGTCATGCCAGCAGCTGCTGTCCCCTCTGCCCCTCGTAGGCTTTGATTTTGGAACAGGCTTCACATTAACAGACAAGGGAAGAGCCACGTGTTTTAGCCTGAAGTGAGGTTGATTTCTTTCCAATACAAACCTCAGTTTCAATAGCAAAAAGGGAAGATAACTTTATTCCAGAAGTTAAATATTTTCTGTGAAATATATGAGCAAGAAGGAAAATGCATTAAGTGCCTTTTTACTACAGTGTACAGAAACCTCCGGGGTGCAGAGATAAGGGGTGCCCACCCCAAGAAACACAGACAGAGGGAGAGAAGAATGAAGGATTTACAAGAAGGAGTAGACCACCAAGCACGAAGAAGCACCAAGTGTTGTTTTGTGTACACACCTTGCTCTTCCAAAGAGCTACCAGGTATCTTTGCCACAAATTCTATCCAACACAACAATCAGAACAGTCTGACAACCCCATAACCTCTGGGTTACTCTAAGGTGAAGAATGAACCTGTGGTCCAACCGGTGGGAGTCATTGTTTCAGACAAATGAATGTTAATCGGTTCCTGGTTGTGAATGGAGAAGTGTGGGAAACAGGGCACTTACCTTACAAACAGACATGATGTTCACGTTGATCATTCTGTCAATTGTCTGCAAGAAAACAAAAGTTTGGGGTTTTGTTCTGTTGGAAGTTATTTCATCAATATTTACACACCCTGAGGGTTTAAGTGCCAGGATAAACGAAACCTTCCACTCACAGATC